GTACCACGGATCAGATTGGAGTTGAAGTGATCAAATGCCCTTTTTCTATTCAGTAGCAGTCTGTATAATTCGGTGACTTGCTCTGTGTCCTGTAGTTCAAGTAAAGGTTGTAATCTCTTTATGGTGCTCATGACAACACACAGGGCGTAATGTCACTTGGAGAATTCTTCCAGGAAATTGGAGTGTGGAGACACTTCTCAGCTTAGTTTGAACTGTGCCTATGACTTCAGTGTGATTCATATAAGCAGCTTATCCTAGCAGGAGGAATATAATTCAAATATTGTTTAAAAAAGGGTTATTAAATTACATATTGTTAAAGTACAAGTTTCAGATGGGGTCATTGGTTTTCTTGGACAAGACGATCAAATCCTTGTCTGAATTCCTTGGAAAAATAAATTGTCTTTTTACATGGGTACATGGAGTTACATTAACTGTCCTTTGTAAACAACTTAAGACTTGTCTTCATTTGAACCTTCAAGCAAATGAATAAGCAAATAGCAAAACAGTAAAACTTATTTTCATGTATATCAGAAGGCATTATAGTTGTGCTGTCTGGATAGCACAATTTGAGGGACAAATGAAAGGGCAAAGAGATTTCATGCATTCCAGTGATGTATCTGTGGTATATGTATCCATGGTCCAGTATACTAATTACCCTCCTTTTCTTTGCCGCTCTGTTCTCCAGTTGTGTCTATTTTCAAGGAGTTTAGCTACTGACTCTTTGGCATGCTCCATTCATTATTTGTTTTGTTTCTAATGCTGCAATCCTTTGAATTTTGGCACTCTTGTGTTTTATCCAAGACCTTGTTACTTGTGTTGATTTTTCTACGCCCTGTATAGTATTCTTGCTTTTCTGTCTGCAAACTGCAACTTGAATTTTTCGTGCACTTGCTGTAGAGGCTGACCTTCAGTTTGACCTCCACAAAATCAGCATTTCGGAAGTCATGGTTTAGATGCACTTGTAGACGCATAAATATGTCCCCTGCATATTCGTTTTTATGTATGGGGTCCATTTTCACTTTTGTTTTTGTTCAGAAGCCTCTCTATTCTTCAGAGCCAAAACCCAGGAACTGTGACTGCAGAAAGCTCTTCTCATTTAGGAGAAACTAATGGAAGTCACTGATACGGAGATGGTGAACCAAGAATCATTTTGGGTTAAAACTGAAGTTTGCTTGACTAATCGTTGTGGCAGTTGCAGTGCCAGATGATGTTTTTTTAGAGTTACCATTTCTGAAGAAAATGTTGCACCTTTCATCTTTTTACAGGGCACCACTGCTATAGTACTGTTCAGAATTGTCCTTCTCTAAGAAAAAAAAAGAGTGGGTGGTGTACATTTGCCACTAAACTTCGTGACTGAAGTGCAATTTCTCTTACTTTGGCTTTAATAGGAAGAATATCTGTCTCCTTTAGTGTGTATGTGCATCATTCAAGCATCCTGAAAGTTGAGGCTTCCAGAGTAGAGGACTGGTTCTGTCTCCTGCTATGAGACTGCAGTTTTCTAACATGATGGCAGAAATGTGTGGCTGGGTTAAGAAGGGCAGGGGGAAGGGTAGTAAAATTATTTGGAGAATAAGGCTCGTAAGATGAGGACTCCTGTTTAGGAAGGTGACTAAAGAAATACAAGAGAGGGCTAAGTTAAACCATGTTCAGAACCTGTTGCTCTGTTGCACATCATGCATGCAGGCTGCTCTGGGTCTGACTTCTCTCTTTAGTGTTATTACATAACAAAGTCACGCTGTAACTTGGGCACTTGCACCGCTGTAGGTTAATCTGATTTGCATACAGAGTTATATGCTTAACTAAAGGTGTCATTCCAACTTAATCAGTATAGTACACAAGCCACCTCATGAAAGAATGAAGAACATACTAGTGATTTAGGTAGACCCTGATGTGTGAAAGATGTTTCCGTAGATACAGACTCAAAAACAGGTCTAAAAGATATTTTTAGTAGGAAGGAGCCATGACTTTCTGATGTCAGCCTTTTTTTGTGTGCGTGTCCCTTCTTTTAAAACTAGGATTTTTTTTTTAAATTATTTTTTAATAACTAAGACTCTTCAAATTCTTCAGGTTTTAGCCACCCATAAGGGTGTGGGGGAAGAAGTAGCAGGTAGCCTCCGATTCATAAGAATTCACAGATTGGTCATATTAAACTCAAATTTTTCTGAACAAGAATTGAAACTCTGGAAGAAATAAAGGCTTGGCATATTGATCCTATCCACAAGTAAACTATGCTTTCCCTTCAGATACAGTGAGGATTTTGAAAACGTGGCCTACCCTCCTACAGGTTTAGACTGGCGTTCTGGTGGAAGTATGATTAGGTAGAGTGTTGCAAGGAAAGCAGCTGCAGTCTGTTATTGCAGTTTTCAGGAGGTGACTACTTTATGCTATGGGCTGTGAATAATTTCCTAAGTAGATGTGACCACATTGTGGTTATCCTTCTGTCTGGTTGTATTCGCATCTATGGTGGGTAGCTCGCACCCTTGAAGAATCATGTGTCAACATCTCACCTACAACACTTAATTTAGAATAGCAACAGCTTTCAGTTTACCTTCTGGGAAGGGATAAGGCAACTTGGTTTTAAATGGAGAGTGGGTTTGTTAATTTTTGAAGTGTGCTAGCAGTTCTGTATGAGTTGCTAGAACTGCATATGACCTGTCTGTATGTATTTTTAATTGTGGTTTACATGACAAACTACTGAGAGGGACAGCTTACAAAGCACAACTCTGTCTGAATGTTGTATGCCTAGTAATGTGAGAGATTAGAAGTAAACCAGCCTTTTTTAGTCCAAATTTGACAGTGCTTGTGGTCAGTTTAACTGTGTCCTGTTCTTAATGCTTTTCTGTTTTGTTTTGTTTTAAACACAGTGATAATGTAAAATACTTCACACAAATGTGGTATTTGCCAGGGCAGTTTCTGCTTTTTGAGCTCTAAATTAAAGTGAAATAATTGAATATCTGCATTCTATTTTTTGATCTTTCTGACAATAAGAAAGTGTTAGGCATTAGTTTAAACTCTGCTGCTATCATGGAATGAATAAAAGTCTATTATTCTGCAGAATAGTTCCCCATTTGATTTATGGCAGCATTCTGTAATTATTTTGATCACTCTGACTTCACTAGAGTTGCATGTGAAGATAAAAAAGTCTAAGTTGTATTTTTTTCCTAGCAACTGCAGTAATGTGAACCTCACGCATGTGCTTAGGATACAAGACCAGTGTACACTATATTTTGTTGGCTAGTTACAGTTTGTGTGGGCATCAATATTTTGTGTTTGCTTGAGAAGACACAGAACTTAAGAGCAGGGGTTTGGGTGAGAGGAAGCAGAGGTGTACTGCTGCTGACATCTCTCTCCATACAGCTGAAGTATGAGCGGCTTTTGTTTTTGTTAACAAAGCATGTGAGTCAAAGAGTGTATATCCAGTCCCTGTGCCTCACATTTGAATCACTGTTGTGGTGAGAGGAAATATAAACATTTCTTGACTGTTTATTCTAACATATACAGATGTTTTAGAAAGGTTGATAGTGGCTGAAAGAGACAAATTGAAAAGCTTTGTTGGATATATAGTGTCACTTACAGCTGGAGCTGTATTGCAATAAAAGCATGTTATCAAAAAGTGATGTTATCGCTTAGAAAACTGATCAAATGTATTCCACATACAAGTTAAAACCTTCTAAAACCCCTAGTGTACTAACTTTTCTGCTAGTGCAGCTGCTTAGTTGGGGCCTCAGGTAAAATCTGTTTCAGAGACTCTTCTCACAGTTAATTCTTGTCCACTGTCTTCAAATAGAAAAGCTCCATTACCTTGTATTGTATAACAGTGATTTGCACACTCTTTGATGCTTCCCAGGGCAGAATTTGCAAGTATGTAAAATGTGTGACCTATTTTGTATGATTTTTTGATAATGAATGCACAAGTAAACTGATGTGGATTAGAAGGGCGGGTTGGATGGTTAGGGTGTGAAAGCCATGAAGATAAACCAGTCAGTTTACGCTGCCTGCAAATATAATTTTTATTCTGTTAAGCGTGAATATTTGCTGCATCGCATCCCGATGATGGGAGGTGGAGGAGGATAGAGTGTGCAGTATATTGGTCTGGCTTGAATAAGGAAGCATGAATATACAATACTTGTGATTTTATTTCCAAACAGATTTCCTTAGACTTGTCAGGGACAGTTGTCTTTCAGTGAAGCATGAATACATTAAGGTTTTAAGTAAATCTGCAGCACAGACATCTGAGAAGCTTGCTGCGTAATTTAACTGAAAATCTAAGGATGAGCTTTCACAAGATGGCTGAGCCAAACTAATGGCTTGCTGCTGCCTAAAGGGATAGCCGCTCTGTTCCTTCTGAGTCCTGCTCCTAGTTATCCAGTGTTGGCTCTTCCTTTATGCAGGCTCTGGCATCATCCTGATCATTCAGATCACTTGTATCTGTTAAAAAAAAAAAAACACCACCAACCAACCAAAAACCCCCGAACCTCCTCCCCCAAAAGAAAACCTAATCAGTTTGCTTTTGTTTCCCGATCACCATTGGAAAAGCAGAGTGTGAGCAGGACTTTGTGACCAGCAGGTAGGGATCTAGGGAATGCCACTGTCCTGGAAACATTGAACTCTTTCATTGGCTCAGTAATCGCAGGGAACATAGCTATTCAGATGTGTGCCAGTTAACAAGTCCTCTTTCAAACTAATTTCATACATACTTATACTAGAGGCTTTTGTCAGAACCATGAATGATAGTGGAATATCGGTTCTTCAAGTAAAACTGCTGAAAATACTTACAAAAATATGAAAAATGCAGCTCAGCTAGTAGCAGTGTCCTTGTTTAAATTAGATGAAAGCAATGCAAATTTGACTTCAGCGAGATGCAGAAAAGTCAGCTTTATATCTGTGTATTTTTGTCATCTTAAAATTATTTGGGCTATTATTTAATAGTTTCCAATAAGATGTTTAAACAAGAGACGTTAAGAAATACCTTAATAATCCTTTTTTTCCTTTTAGAACTGAAGGAAAGTCATCATGGGAGCATTTTTAGACAAGCCAAAGATGGAGAAGCATAATGCCCAGGGGCAAGGGAATGGGCTTCGTTATGGTTTGAGTAGTATGCAAGGCTGGCGAGTTGAAATGGAGGATGCACATACGGCTGTGATTGGTTTGCCAAATGGACTTGATGGATGGTCATTTTTTGCTGTATATGATGGGCACGCTGGATCACAGGTTGCCAAGTACTGCTGTGAGCATTTATTAGATCACATCACAAGCAACCAGGATTTTAAAGGGCCAGATGGGCCACCATCTGTGGAAAGTGTAAAGAGCGGCATCAGAACAGGTTTTCTGCAAATTGATGAACACATGAGAGTCATCTCCGAGAAGAAACATGGCGCAGACAGAAGTGGGTCAACAGCTGTGGGTGTCATGATTTCTCCCCAACATACATACTTCATCAACTGTGGAGACTCGAGAGGTTTACTTTGTAGAAACAGGAAGGTTCACTTCTTCACACAGGATCACAAACCAAGTAATCCACTGGAGAAAGAGCGTATACAGAATGCAGGTGGCTCTGTAATGATTCAGCGTGTGAATGGCTCTCTTGCTGTTTCAAGGGCACTTGGGGACTTTGATTACAAATGTGTCCATGGGAAAGGTCCTACAGAACAGCTAGTCTCACCTGAGCCTGAAGTTTATGAAATTGAGAGATCAGAAGAAGATGATCAATTCATCATACTGGCTTGTGACGGTATCTGGGATGTTATGGGAAATGAAGAGCTGTGTGACTTTGTAAGATCCAGACTTGAAGTCACTGATGACCTTGAGAAAGTTTGCAATGAGATAGTTGACACCTGCTTGTACAAGGTAGCCAGACTTGAGAGAAGAGGTTTACTGTGTTTTCACTGTTAGAAGTTTATGAACAAGTTAAGAATAAGTTTTGATTCCAGTCTATAAGTGTCCAATGGTTTATGTTAACATGACTTCGACAGTAATTACCATTGTTCTCACAAAAATGGTGATAGAGGGGGAATGAACACACAACAGAACCAGTATGGCTTTCTGTGTGGTTTTGGTTAATGAAGAGTTTAAAATCATGTACAGATATGTTATCATCACTGGGAAACTAGAAGCTAATGGGAATTTATGGGCAAGCCAAGGGCAATAGCTGCCCTTTTCTGTTTCACAACATACTTTACAAAGCATTAACTCTTAAGACTTAAATCAGGTTATAGAATATTCTTTCCCTTCCTAATCTTCCCCTCCTTTCTTGGGCATATAGTAGTAACATTACTGTCATAGTTACACCAAGGTTAAATGCAGAATGAATGAACATTGACTTCGTATTTTGCAGTTTTTAAAATTTCTTCTTGACTATATGAAGATCTGACTTCCTAAGTTAGTTTTTATTCTGGTTTAATTCCTGTATGTCTTACTCAGTGTTGTGTGATGCAGCTCTGAAACTAGCTCAAGTAGAAGATGGGACTGTTTTGTATAACAAATCTGTGTAATTTTGTCTACCATAACTTCTACTTTGTATTAATAAGCTGCAGGATGGTGCAGTTACAGAAGAGATTTGAAGTATTGAGTTTCATAGCTTGATGCTTAATTTTCCAAAGGCAAGCTATAAGTCATAGTATAAAAAAAGCCAATGTTTTTGATACTAAAGAGACAAGACAGCATCTCTGCTCTTGCCACATGGCTAACAAGGTCATTGTTTCCCTTTTGGAAAAATGTAATTGCTTTCCAACACTTTGGCAGATTGATAATGCATATATTTTTGTTTACAATTTTTATCTGGTAATCCTGAAAACAAATACTGGGGAAGGAACAGTGGCTTGTGGATGCTGTAAGCTTTGCAGTAGCCAACTGTCAGCACCTCCCCATACGCCCATATACTCCTGTTTTAAACACTGGCTTGTTCTTGATCTCGCTGACTTCTGTGGATTTAATTGGTGTTAAAAGTTAAGCATACGGATGCATGTTTGTAGACCAGAGCATGGGGTATTGAAAGTAAACTAAACAGTTACGTTTCATAAGCAGAATGTGTTTGTATTTTAACGTATTCAAGTAGGAGTTTTAAATGTTTCCATTTCAAAGAATGCTTTTGTAAAGGCCTGGGCCCCTTCCAGCTGGTCTTTTAACAGATTCTCTCACTTGTAACTCTTCTGTTTTAAAAGAAAAGGGGGGGGGGAAAAACCCTAATAGCTGTGATTTTAGGTGGAAACATGGTCTGAATTCAACACCTCCCTGCTTAGTGCTTTTAAGCAGTAATGGTTTTGTTTACCCATCTAATATTCAGCTGTTCTCCCAAAATGATTGGGTAGTACTTAAAGCAAGATAGAACACAATTTGTAATTACACATCACTCATTAGTAATGTCAATTTTTAAAAGACAATGGGCTGTCTGTAATTGGCTCCATGTAGTCTTCAGACCATAAGAGGAAAGAACAAAGTAACTTAAAAGTTGTACTGAATGAATGGGCAGACTTCTGGGATTCTGTAAGGGGGTGGGGGGAAATTAAGGCTAATGATAATATTAATCCATAGTAGTAAAAGTTATATGCTAATACCATATGATTTGTGAATTTTTGTGTGTAAAATGCTTTGATGTGTATTGAGCCTGGTGTGTATACATTCTCAAATCATTTTTTCTTTTCCACCAGGGAAGTCGAGACAACATGAGTGTGATTTTGATCTGTTTTCCGAATGCACCAAAGGTATCGCCAGAGGCGGTGAAAAGAGAGGCAGAGTTGGACAAGTACCTGGAAAGCAGAGTAGAAGGTGGATCATTTAAAAAAAAATAAGTAACTTTGTTTCTAAACAGACCCCTGGCCCCCTTCCCCTTCCAACAACTAAACTCTTAACACATACAGGCTTTTTACTAGACCTTCAAGTGCAATTGGCCATCTAGTGTACATCTCTGAAAAAGGCACTCATATAGTCCTGCTGTATGTCCTGAAAAAATTTGGCTATGAAAGTGCCGCAGCCTATAGCCCTGAAAATTATTCAGGATGGCAGAGAAATAATTCATTTGTGCTCAGTGTTCTTCATGAGTCCGTTGACAGCACTATCTTCTGACCAGTAAATCCTGGTTCCTGTTATATGGCATTAAATGAAATAATCAGAATATCTTGCAAAGTGTCTGTGAGGATGGTAATTTGAGTGCCATTTTTTCCGGATAGTTATGTACAAATTAGTTAGTCGTAATATTCTATTATCCAGTTATGGTACGGTTACAGCTTGATTACTGTCATCTTTAGGGCACCTGCTAACATTTACTTATTTGAAAGTATGTAAGAAATTTGTCAAAGCTAATCTTTAAGCATTCATGATGAACAAAAGCTGGGAGCTCATCTTACTCTGAGAACAACTTCAAAATTTTGCTTTAAATTTGTATTTCGGGAGTTCTTAAACTTTAAACTGAAATGGCAAGTCTTAGGCATTTTGGGTCACCTAACTAAAAATATTTGAAATCAATTTGGTTTAAAAGATTTCTCATTAAAACTGGATTTCTAGTGCCTTTTGGTATTTTAAAACAACCACAGCTTGGGTGTTTGTTTCTGAAACACAAGACACTTAACCTATGCAAATAATGCATACAGCATCTATTTTTGAAGTGGATTCCTCTAGACCTATATGTTACAAGTCTAGTTATGTGTATATTCTCCAAGAATCCTTAGTAGCACACAGGGCACGGTACGTAGAGTTCTTCACAAGTATGGTATCAGTGATAGTTAGAGGAACATACTGTGCACTTTTTTTCCTCCTTAACTTGCATGAAGATAACACAGTGCAGCTTCAGAAATTTCACAGAGAACTTGCCTACATGGGAGTTCTGGGTTCAGACAAATTAATGTGCAATTTTAAAGCACTTACTACCTGCGTGGGCGCTCCTTCAGAAAGTATCACCTTTTTCAAAGGCCTCATTCGCAAGGTCTTGGCAAACTACATCTGTTCTGCCCCTGAACAAATGTCCAGGCAGACATTTCTGTGTTTTAATCTAACACTTGCCTCATAAGAGAAGTTGGTGCACAGTAAGAAATAGTGTGAATCTTTTTGACAGCGTAGCAGGAATATCCAAGTGCATGGTAACACTGCATGAGTTAAGTGTCAGATGGCTTTCTCCATTTCAAAGCAGTGAGCAGTTTTGCACCAGATATTTGAAGAGCTTACTATGTATGCCCACTCACAGAATTGGTGAAGAACAAGTACGCTGTAAATTCACACATTAATTTACAGCATGCTAACTCTCCTAATTTGGGCAAGTATTACCTTCGTATCTTAGATATATTGTCTGAGTTCAGAGAAACCCATGACCTAGAATATGAAAATACGTTCAAGTTAAGGCTGCATCTTCAGCTGGCCTCATTGTACCCCAGGAATATTACAATAAGGAAAGCTGACGTTTTTGTACAGACACTTCATTTCGTAAATGAAGAACCTAAACACTGGAACTGCATGTGATTATGGTACATACAATGAATTTGGCTGCCAGTACTTTGCATTTATACAAATACAAAATTTCAGGAGTGAGTGAAGTGTGGTACTTGCATAGAGGCAGAAGGATCCTCTATGTAGTTATAAAGCACTTTAATACTAATTTAATGGGATGATGTCTGAACAACTTGAGGACATACATTGTACTTCCCCTCAAGGGTCGTTGCTTCTTTTTTAGAGTTGTCCTCAATCTTTTGTCTATTGTTGCACAAAGATATTATTTATATTAATGAATATGTAGTAAACACTAATCAACCCAGCAGTGATTTGTATCAGCTGTGTGCAGAATTTGGCCTTTTAGGTCTTACTCATGAGGGAAGTTGAGAGGCTGAACTAAAGCAGAACTTCAAGAACAGGAGCCAATTAACTTTGTTATATTTAACTTCATAATTCTTGTGAAGTTAAATTGTTTCCTGGTGTAAATGGATAATGCAGCATTGACTAGTAAGGTAGGACTGCTACAGCATCTGAAACTTGCAACACTACAGTGAATAATCTTGCTGATATCCTAGGATACTTTAAGAATGGCAGTGCTTAACTTTATAAACCTCATCTTCAGCTGAAGAAACTCGAAAACGTAAAGAGTACTTTTAGAATGATCTTACTAATCTGTAATACCAATTTAAAGTTAAAATTCATTAAAATGGAAATGGTGAAAATGCATATTATGTATTTTTATGCACTTCAGTACTCAGTGTAGTCCAACAAGTAATGAGATTTGATGCTTACTAATGTATATTTTTCCTGGTTGTACTTTTATTCCCTCAGTCCAGAATATGTCTTTATACTGTTAAGAAGTAGTGCAAATTTTAAGACTGAATAGGGCTTAGTACTGATGGTCATCTTGAATAAGGAGAGGCAATTCAGATTTTAAAAAACATAGAAAGTTTTCTACTTACCGTTCCACCTAGGACTCTCCTTTTACTAATTTTTGATGTTTGTGGTCCAGATTTGTAGCTACAGTAAATAATAATGGAAGAAGCAGCAAGTGTGGAGAAGCATCTTTGTGCTATTACTTGCAATAAATCAGTGTTACTCCTAAAATATCATGTGAACTTCACGGTAGAAGTAATCAGTCATTCCAAAACGTGTTGCTATTATTTGCACTAATGTGATATTGATGTGTTGACTATAAAAGAAATCTGTCTAAACTTTTTTCTGTTCTCAGTTTCTTACATAAAAACATTCCATAATAGATAATCCTTGCAATATTTATACCTATATATAGAGAAATAATTTTAAGTTAGTTGTTATATGTTCCTTCCCATATTTTCCCAAAATCAAAGCTCTGGCTTTTTTCTTAAACTTTGTGTGGAATTCCCATTCAGAATATGAAAAAGCAGATATGTTTTGAATCCTTTATTTTAGGGTTGTAAGTACATTTTTCCAGTACTCGATGCCATGAAAATGTGTAGAAGGTTTAAAAGTAAATTAAAGGTTGGGGAGGGTTGTAAGATGTATTGAAAGAAGATAATTCCAATAAATTAAACACAGCTAGCAGACCGACTCCATTTGTTGTCTTCAGTGTTCATTCAGTCTGTATCTATAGTTTTATCAAAATATAAATGTATTCATTTAGTGGAGACTGTATGTTAAATGTACTGCAGTTACAGGTTGTGAAACTGTGTAGTATAGGTAAACTATAAATTCCTTATTTTTGTACAGCAGAACTTTAGCACTAGCACAATGTAGAATATACTAGATGTTCAAAATTGCACAATAAAGGAACTTGGCAAACCAAATCCGAGATCTTTGCTTCTTATTCAGATTTAAGAGTGTTAGATTATTTACTAAATACTAGATGGTAAAATGAATTTTGGCTATAGGTTTTGAGGAAATGGCAAGTTTTTGAGGTGTCTATGGTGTGTGGTGTCATGTATTTAAAATGTAGGTTTTGAAGTAAACAGCTTAAAGCTTTGTGTTGCAGAGTTTGACACTGGTTGAAGGCTAGACAGTGTTTCCACTGTACCTTGCAAATAATTTACACAGCCTGAGCGCAAAACAGAGCTGATGCTTTTTGTAAACACACACAGCCCTGAAAAACTATTACATGCACAAAAAGTAATTCACAATTGTTGTTTTTAATTTTTTAACTAAAAGGGACTGGATGCATGCTGGTTTTAAAAGCTTTTAATGTGCCTTATCTCACAAATTATAAAATGGAAACTTGGTATGCTCTTCTGGAATTGTCATTTAGGGCAAAAACTGAATGCTAGAGTATTTTTCAAAAGTGGTACTAATGAACTGCAACTACTCTTCAAGCTGTGTAAATGCTTTATTACATGAAGAATAGTGTGCATGTACATATGTGCATGTATATATATATGCACATACGTACACTTCATTCTGTGTGCTGCAGTATTCACTTGAAGATCAACAGCGCCAAGTCTTAATAATTCATATCTCTTATAATTTCTAAGAGCTTGTGTTTACAGAGAAACTGATGAGATGCATTTTAAAAAAAATGTGCTTGTTCTTTAAACTTCCTAAAATCCCTATAATGAGTGACTCTTCAAGGGTGGTATGGTCTGAAATCTGTTGAGTTCAAATAAAATTGTGTGCTTACAACTTGAAAAAAAAAACAAAAACCAAAAACCCAGGCCTAAGAATAAAGTTAAAGAATGAATTTCTTAGCAAACGTGACTGTGACTACAGTATAGATTCTCTTCACCCAGAAGTTGGAGTGGATCGGCTTTAAATAACTGCTCAATATTCACATATCCCCTAAGGGAGTTGAGGATGGAAGTCTCTCTTAGATGTGATGTCCCTGGCTTTTAATTTGTATGTAATAGTTCCTAAAATTTGCATGTTGCTGTAATGCAGTGAGGTACAAGTATTGGCTAATATACATACAGCCATGGGAGTTATTTTTAATATGTCTAACTTTTTGTTTCTTGAAAATATTATGCTTTCTATGATGGTGATAATCTTTCATCTTCTGTTGCAGTGGTAAAGCTGATGTTAATATCTGCCTTGTGCCCAGGGCATTTTGTTGGGAAGATATTACATCTTCTGTTATATCTAATGTCTAGCAGGAAATCCATTAAAGAATTTTTTCCCACTCTTATTAGGTAGCTGTGTATTTCTAAAATTGGTGTGCATGTTAACAGTTAGCAGTATATCTTTGTCAAATCTGTTACAGGTTCTTTTTCTTACGGAACCAAAGTTAGCAATTACCATGTTGAATATGGTCTGTCATCTTTTTTTTTTTAATATATTAACAGAAGTTAAGCTGCCTTTTTATAAAACTGAGTGTTTCAATCTTTTTAAGTTAAATTTGGACTGCACTTACAAAAAAAGTACTTCTGATTCCCAGAGATCATAAAGAAGCAGGGTGAAGGAGTCCCAGACTTAGTCCACGTGATGCGTACGTTAGCAACTGAGAGCATCCCAAACCTCCCGCCAGGGGGTGAATTGGCAAGCAAGTGAGTTCACATCAGTGTAAATGTGGTTTTTGATTTAAATCGAAACTTAACTGTAAGGCCACTCTTAAAAGTGGGGGGAAGGAAGAAGGGTACAAGACAAAAGGTGATGATCTGTTCTCCAATTATCATTACTCAGTTGTTCTGAATTAAAAGGACAAGCATAAGAACAGAGTTAACTATGAATCACTGCTAAAATTAACTTTCAAACTGTAGTTTTGGGAAGGACTGAGGGTTTTTTAAGGGTGGCCTGAGTGTGTCTGTTTTTTGTAATTAACTGGGTTCTCTGGGTGGGAGGTTACATTTGAAATTGCAAAAATAATGCACTGCCTTTAGTAGTTACTTGGATATGTAGTTGTACACTTCGACAAAAAGTGATATGCGTATGATATTTTCCTTGGCAGCTTTCTTTTCTTGTCTGTAACCAAAGCAATGTTGTAATTGCTTAAAAGTTTGCTTTTGTATCTCTCTGCTTGTGACAAATCTGAAAACTAGATAGAAGTCTATCAGAATAGAAAAGTGGGAAGTTAATATAGCCAGCTTTATATAGGCTGGCTTTGTCCTTGGAAGAGTTCAGTGTTGATGCTCTGTGGCTTCTCAAATTGATGTTCGATCTTTAAGGAAGCAAAGTGCTTAGCTCGTTTGCACACCAAACCAAGTGCTTTTTGGTTCAAAAGATCGTTCATGAACCTGTGCTGTGTTAAAATGGATTGGGCACATACGGTACAGACTATATTTTTAACCCTTCAGAGAATGATTTTTGTATTACACCAAAACATGAAGACTCTAGGTATATAAGTGAATAAATGATAACTGAACTGTAAAGATGACTTCTACAAAACAAAATTGTTCTTACATGAACTGTTTGACTAGGAAAAGAAGAGATGGCAATTTTACATAATAGCAGCATCTATTTAGGATGTGTTGCTGTAGTCTTGAAGTATCGATGAGTCAGTTACTCATTAAATGTGGCATACAAATTGATTTTTCTCAATCTCTTTTGGCTAGCAGTAGCATCATGGTTGTGAGGAAGTGCTGAAGTGACTGCCTTCCCTAGGATTTTGTCTTAGTGACGCTAGTTTGAATAGGGATTGACAGAAGTATGGATTTAATTGGATGTTAGCATAACTCAAAGCACGACTGCCCATTTGGAAGGAAAATAATGCTTTTTAAGAAACTGCCTTTATTTAGAATCAAAGATACCTATTTCTTGAAAGATGAGGGAAACTTTCCAGTTCATACGTGCGATGTACTTTGTGTGTAATTGCTTGTTTTTATCGCTTTAAATTCAGTCTCTTCTTCCGTGCCCTATAATCATTCACTAGATTCACTATGATGTTTATACTGCTGCATGGTAGTTCCTGACTTTTCAGTGTTATGGGATGATTAGAAAGCCTATCATCTGCTTTTTCTTCTAATGCACTCCTTTGTGATTGCTCTGCATGCATTCATGAGCAGTTAAAAGGTTGTTCTTTGAAGTTTGCTTTGTATCGCAGTTGTAGTCTGCTACTTCGTCATACTTGGTTCTGCAGAAGGGGATCTGGAAGAAAGTTGCTTTTAAAGTCCAGTCTGTAATTTCTGTCTTTTACTCCCCTCTTTCCTTCGTGCTCCCCCTCCAAAGTTGTTTCCTTATATGCTGGGTAAGGCAAAGGTTTTCTCTTCCTTCAGCCTCACATTGTTGGTTTTTTTCAGTATCAGTTTTCAAGAAAACCTTTTCACCTTGTGTAAAAAAACAAAAAAACAAAAAAAACAAAAAACCAACAACAACAAAAAAACCCCAAAAATTCCCATCTTGCTCATTTACATGTTGTTTGCAATTTTTCTATTACTATTTTATCAATATTTCCTATCAATATTAGAAAAGCTGAGAATCCCAGAGACGAAAGTTAATTACAAGCTATCTTAAATATGCTAAGCAAATTTTTTTAAAGGAGTGAAACTGTCACGATGCTTGAATTAATTTTTTAATTTTTTTTGCCAGACAAAATTCTTCTCAGTCTGAAGATACAATACGTAGAACTGCTATTTGCAGTTCAAATTTTTTTGAGAGAAGCTGCAGGCGAGTATTGGACATATTATTGTAAGAGAGTATTGCTTCAAAAATAATTTTTCCAGGTTTGCACATGGAAAGTACATTTCAGAATGTAACAGGAACAAAAATGTACTTCAGAATGCAATTTTTGTGCATCCAGAAAATTTAAAAAACTATTATTCCCATATGAAAGTGCCATAATACATGAAGTACTACTGCAGTGTTCATCAGACACACAAATGACCAGGGCATTCAACGTCCATCAAGTTTTCTGATGCCCTTTTTCAAAGTCAAGAGACGTAGCACCAAGCAGCATCGCAGCCTCATCTGAATGTCAGATTGTGCTCCTCTTTTTTTTTGAGTTTTGTCTGAACAGCCTTGTTTTTCTTGAACCTAAAGGTTTTAAAGGATATGGTAGCTGTGTTCAGTGTTTAATGATGCTTAGTGCTAACTTGTAGTAAACTTGGTTCTCTGAATCTAAAACGTTTTAAGGTTTGCATTTTAAATTAAAATTGTGCTTAGGGAATTTGACTTTAAAAAGACACAACCTTAAAATCTTGTGGGTTTTTTTTGCTCTAGACGGAGTGTGATTGAAGCAGTTTATAACAGACTGAACCCCTACAGGAATGATGATACTGTAAGTATCCTTTCTCTTACGTTATCTTTCCCCCCACCCCAATTATTTTAGCTGTTTTGTAAAGAAACATGTTGCTAGTTCTTGTTAAAAGACCCCTTCCCCCAAAGAAGCAGTAGCAATGTTGTGCGCTCTAGACTGTGTTTTGTAATTGTTTTCTGCTGATCATAGTCTCAAAACTCTGGTATGGTTGGTTTGTTTGTCCTCTGGAATTTCATTATTTGAATCCTGCCTGGGTTTCCAAATGCTTTCCTGCCAAATGGTGCAGAGTCATGTATATTTTTTTCTCTCTTACGGGAGACATTTTCCCCAAATACCAAGAAGAAAAAGGCCATATTTGTAGGTTAAACAGATTTGTAACTATCAGCTTTAAGGTTATATTAATTTTCCAAGTGGACTGTGTAAGCACTTTTATTGTTGAGCATAGAGCATCTTACAGCAAGCATACAGTTTAGGTTCTTATGTGTCAGTGATCAGTGTGACATGAATCCACTGTTGGTGGGGAAAAAAAACCCAAAACTCTAAAATATGAACAGTGATCCCAATTGCAGTTAGATCACTGGAAACAATGTTCTGTCACCAAAAGTGCTGTACTTCATAAAGTAGTTAAATTGATCCTTTACCTACCATCAAAAATTACTTACATGCTTAGATGTGATGTAAGTGAAATGCATCCAGACATAAAGAATTGTGTGTTAGCTTTACAATAGGGCGCTAGTTTATTTGGCAGTTCTCATTGTATCTTTAGCATAAAAATTCCTAAATAGTGGCTGAAAGAGGATGCTTTACCTTCAAAATACATTCTATAGTATGTTACTGTTCTACAAACGTACAGTACACAAAAGTCTTTGTTTTGTGATGATGTTGGCAACTTGGATACAGAAATTTGCATACTGAATAGTTGGCATGCAGCTCCTGTGTTTTTACTCACTACTGCTTTTATTCCTCATCCTTGCACTTGAAACAAACACGACCATTTTGGTCTTTCATATAATTGCTCTCCTTTGCTACTTCTGGTCTTGAAGAAAAAAACGGAGGTGGTACTTTGCAAAGGGTAATTTTAATGATTTTGGTTTCTCTTACTACACCTCCGTGCCAACTGTTCTTCTTTATGGTTTGTAATGAATTCTGTGTGCAAGTTTGAATGAAGGGTGCAGAACTTTAGTGCTAAGGAATTGTTGTATGTGGCATTGCTAGAGATTTAATTAGCCTCTTTTCTCTCAAAGGAATCAGTAAGGTGGTGCTTTTAAAGAGGAGTAATATTTCTACCTCCTGCAGTCTTAGTAATGATAGGGAAGTGTAGCTGTGGAAGCACCAGCATGCACTGTTGTTAAAGCCCATCATGGCCCTTAATTACTTAGGGGAAGGTAGCAGGTAATGCTGAAACAACCAAAGATTGCTGTACAGAAGCAGTTTGCTCTGATGCCAGTGCTACTGACTTAGCTGTTGCTTCAGCTACCGAGCTGTGGTCCCACTTCTTAGTCGTGGTGTTAACCTGTGTACCCAACTGATGAGGCAGTTAGAGAAAGCGGAATATAGAACAGTCTAAGCAAGGGAGAAGGAAACAGGCATGACACAAAGGCACATGGATTGAAAAACACTTACTAGAATTAAATATTCAATTTGTACTAGGATTTTTTTTTCAGCTGATAGCAGGAATTGGTTAAACATTTTTCAGGGGTGTGGTAGTTCAACAAAATCCACTGTTGCCTGTGGGCCTAAGTGGACCAAATTTTAGGGATACTCAGGTATTGGATACATGGTTGTAATGCCATGTAGTGTGACCGTACGGTTATGATATAGAGCACGGCGTGTGTCTGCTTCCAATTTTTTTCTTCTATACATTTTTTTTCCTTGTGGTTTTATTACCATCCCAAATTAGGGTTTCCTGCAGTTGCCCAAACTACACTTCTCTAACCTTAAATTATAAGTGTTAAAATTGAACTGAATTATAACAGGGTGTCAGTTGATGACTGTATCTTACTATGCAGTGAGGGAGGGCTGAAAACACAAAAGATGGTAATGATAATAACAAATGGCCTGAGGCACATCCTTGCTCTTTTCACGCACCTGTGTAGTAAGTGTATCCATTTTGTATTACTTCTAACTACTCTGGGAATGCTTTTGAATAATGTTCCTAGGATATCATTTTGAGGATTGATAAGGCTATTATAAAATGCTTGGTCAGATTTTGAAATGTCTTGGTACTAATGCTTCATTAATTAAGCGTATGTGGTTTTTAGATACTTCTTTGATGGTATTTCTGAAAGGGGAGAGAAAACAGACTCCTAAAATGATTTAAGTCTTTACCCTTTTTAGTCTGGATTATCCAGAAACTGCTGTAACTACGGGCACTCCAGACTTTAAAGGGTTCCTTCTTTTTTCTTTAAGGATTCTGCCTCAACTGATGATATGTGGTAAAACTGCTCATCTAGCTGTGGAGTTCACGTTTCATCCTTCAAATGAAAGTGCAGCCCAACCTCGGTGACCCTTCTTAACATCCATCCTCAACCTTAATTAAAGAAGGGAATATGATGTGTTGGTGAGAGTGACTACAGCAGTACAACATCTAGCCCAGGAACTGATCTTTTTTGTAAAACAGACTTCTGTAAACGTGATTTCAAACCATAATTCATGTTGTAAATCAGACTCCAGCAATTTATGTTGTATGATTTTGTTTTTGTAAAGTGCAATTGTCTTTGTACAAAATGCTCATATTTAATTATGAACTGCTTTAAATCACTATAAAGGTTAGAAGAAATGTTTGGCTTGTGTGTTGCAACAATATATATCCCTTTAAATTCATGTTGTGGTTTTGGATTGCAAGGAGCAGCAGCCTAGCCAGCTAGGTGCTCAAGAGGTGCACAAAACTGTAAAGATAACTTTGTTTTATATGAAAGCTGATCTTGTGGGCAACTCACCAGAAATTACAGTGTGTGAATTTGCTTGCCAGTGGAAAAATAACTAAGAGTAGTGCACATTCTTCAACAAACGTATATCGTTTTCTTGGACGCACTCCTGCTCTCACGTTGAGTTAAAGGGAGTTCTGATTTTGACTTCAGTGGGAGTTAAATCATGCCCTATTAATAGTATCGTGTTCATACGTGTACGAACCTTGGGATTAGAATGCCTTGATTCTTTGCACCTCTTTTTTCATTAACCCTTACCTGAAACTACTAATCACTGAGCACGAACAGGCAGCTTTCTACATACCGTAGGAGTCTGCAGCATTTTTACAATCCTGATTGGCTGGGTCTGCTGCTGTTCCAAGTAAAATACTTTGAATTCCATTTTATCAATAAAGCTTGATTTAACAAACAAGAAATTTATCCATAAATGTGTAATTCCTTTTTTCCTGCCTTTTAAAATGTCAGTGCCATTGTAAATGATATTTTACTTGTGGAAGAATATTTTTATTAATTGGTAGCCCATTTTTAAAATGGGAAGGATTTTGATTATTGCCCAAGACATAGCCATATGCTAGAGAATGATGTGGGATTAATCCGTTACCCTGTTTTTTACAAGTGTGGGTTTTTTCAGGCTTTTTCGTGGTTTTGGTTTTTTTTTTACTCCCCACTGAAGATGTGCATTGGTTTGAATTTGCCTACTGTTTGATAAAAATACATTTGTCAAAGCCTGACAATCTTTAACATTTTATGGTGTGTGTTTTTAATTGACCCACTTACTTAGAATGAGAGACTAGTGGTTAAACAGTACTTGTGATTTGAGATATAGCATGTTGACAATATTTAACTGTTCGTTGTTTAAAATTCTAATTTAAAATTTTATAAGATAATAAACTAATTTGATTTAAGCTTAGCTTTCTCCCAATGAGCATACAAAAATTAAGTTTTCAAGTCAGTCGTGTTTGCAAAACTGCTGTTTTGTGCACCTTGTATTGTCTTTTTGGTTGAGAATATTGTATTTAATATGTAGTTTACTCATTTAGTAGGCAGACTCCCCAAAAGGAAAATCAGTAAAACAAGTAGATTGTAACATTTACTGCAGTTAAACAGAATCAAAACTTGGTGTATAATTACTTTTTGATAGGAAAATGTAGCACAAGGCAT